AATTTATAGGTTAAAATTTCCACTTCTTAGATCATCAGAAGATCTTCTGAAGTGCCTTCTGAGCCTATTAAACCTTTGTTAAAGCAATAAGGGAATCAGAACAATTAGGGTGTTTCAAGTATAATAAAAACAAAACCTTGTAATCATTGTGACCATGAAATATTATGAAGTCATTATTAATATTCTGAGCATTTTTATTAATATTCTAAGAATTTTTCCAAGTATGTAGGGTTTTTTTAGTCCACATCTGTGTGATTTTTTTTTCCTTTTTCCTTTTTTTTTTAATCTAAATATTGGGCAGACAACAAAATGGAGGAGAAAATTGAGAGGCTGTGGGCTTTCCCTTACTTTGTCCCAAAGATGTGAAGTAGAAGTGTTCTCAAAAAGTGTATTTGCAGTAATGAACCTGGCCTTGAGGAACATTTTACAGGAGGATTATTCCCTATAGCCAGGCAGAAAAGAAGATGGCCTGTATCAGCCTTATCAGTCAGTCAACAAGCATTTATTGTTTACTATGTGCCAAGCAATGTTAAGCCCTAGGGATACCAAGGCCATATGGCCAGACAGGCAGCATCATCCAGTGGCATGGGCGCTGTATATAGAGCCAGAGGACCTGGGTTTAAATCCTGTCATTTATTATTTGTGATACTTTAAACAGTTCTTTTAACCTTTATAAGCTTTAATTTCTTTATCTATAAAATGAAAGTATTGGACTATATGACTCCAAATACCCCTTCTGGCTCTAAAGCTAGGATTCTAGGTCAGAGGGGTCAGGGTAGAGGGTGCTAGATACTGAAAGGAGGTTGGATTTGGGCTATGTGGGTACAAAAATCTTATTCGCCACTGCTTTAAAGTAGTGCTATGCAGGTACAATTTTTTTGTTGTTTATTTTTTAGCTTTCAACATTCACTTCCACAAGATTTTAAGTTTTAAATTTTTCCCCCTTCCACTGATATCTCCCCCCCACACACAAGATGGTGGCATGCAGTCTAATATAGGCTCTACTTATACATTCATATTAAAAATATTTTCCCATTAGTCATGATGTAAAGAACAATTAGAACTAACGGAAGGAACCATGAGAATGAAACAATAACACAAAACAACAAAGGAAAAGGAGAGCAAATAGTATGCTTCCATCTGCAGTCAGACTCCATAGTTCTTTCTCTGGACGTGGACAGCAATTTCCATTGTAAGTCTTTTGGAGTAGTCTTAGATTCTTGCATTGCTGTGAAGAGCCAAGTCTATCAAAGTCAGTCACCCTGCAATGTGGCTGTTAATGTGTACAATGTTCTCCTGGTTCTGCTCACTTCACTCAGCATCAGTTCATATAAGTCTTTCCAGGTTTTTCTGAAGTCCACCTGCTCATAATTTCTTATAGCACAATAGTATTCCACTACATTCATATACCACAACTTGGTCAGCCATTCTCCAATTGATGGGTGTCCTCTCAATTTCCAATTCTTTGCCACCACAAAAAGAGCTGCTATAAATATTTTTGTGCATGTGGGTCCTTTTCCTGTTTTTATGATCTCTTTGGGATACAGACATAGAAGTGGTATTGCTGGGTCAAAGGGTATGCACATTTTTATAGCCCTTTAAGCAGAGTTCCAAATTGCTCTCCAAAATAGTTGGATCATTTCACAACTCTACCAACAATGCATCAGTGTTCCAATTCTCCCACACCTTCTCCAACATTTGTCATTGTCCTGTGTTGTCATGTTAGCCAATCTGATAGGTGTGATGTGGTAACTCAGAGTCATTTTGATTTGCATTTCTCCAATCAACAGTGACTATAAATAGCTTCAGTTTCTCCCTCTGAAAACTGCCTGTTCATATCCTTTGACCATTTATCAATTGGGTAATGACTTATATCCTTATAAATTTGAATCAGTTCTCTATATATTTTAGAAATGAGGCCTTTATCAGAGACACTGGTTATAAAAATTATTTCCCAGTTTTCTGCTTTCCTTCTAATCTTGGATGCATTGGCTTGGATGCATTGCAATAAGATATTTAGATGAAGCTATTTCTCTGCATTATTCTTGACTCTGAGACGTTATAATGGATGGAGAGTTGAGGAGCAACAAAAACATTTTAAAATCTCATTTTTCTTCTCTGAAATGCCTTTATTAAAAACCACTGTCAAGATTAGCTGTATCTAATTTTGTTACAATTAACTATACTTTAATTGTGTCCCAACTCTAGAGACTATTTGAGTGGAATCAGGAAGCTACCCCAACACTCTACTTATTTTCTAGACAATTTGAAAAGACTGGCACAAAAGTATAAGCAATTCCTATAAAATAGGCAATCATGTTTTAAGCCTAGAATAAGGGTCCTAATGTGTGTGTGTAAACACACAACTCCTAGGAATTACACACACATTCTCACACACACACACACACACACACACACACACACACACACATACACACCCACAAAAGTTCCTTTGAGCAATATTGGAAGAAATCACTACCAGATTCTAAAATGCCATTTCAAACACTGAAGCTGGGCCTTCTTAATCACATTATAGGTTCACCCACTTTAGCTATTAATTTGACCAATTATTTATTTATTCAGTTTGGTCAAAATATTTTTAAAAGAACATTAATAAAGATGCAACCTTCTACCATTTTCATTTGCCTTATACTAATATTGTATCTCATACCATGCAAATCTCTTGCCAAAACAAACAAAAAAAAACAGCAAAATTTCTGTCTATTTGTATCACTCATATTATATCCTCCCATGTAGAATAAAAATTAGCACAGGGCAATAATACCAGTCTTCCAGATGTAGATAGTATGATTGGCATGATTTCTTATGGGGAGAGAAGGTGCTTGCTTCCTATTGTACTAACACTCCTTAACACTCCTACCATCAATGGCCTCTTTGTCTATCTAACTACTGGCTCTTCTCCCAATTCCAAGGGTGTCATCACTCTCACTTCCCAGGGTCCCATGACCACCACTTCTCCCTCACAAGGCACTATCTCATTAGCGAAGGACAGAATACACACCACAACCATATACTTGGGACCCAGGACCCCTGGGATCAGTGCTGGATCAACTAGGCAGATAAACAATAAAGGTAGTCAGTTACTCATGTGATACCAACTACCCTCTTCCCTTTCCCCATTCTAGCCCTATCCCTTTGACCCTCAAACACCCCTAGTTTTCCTCCAGTTTCTCTCTCTCCACTTTCTGCAGAATCTTCTTGATTCTGGATCTTTCCTCTGCTATGGTGCAGTAGAAACAATAGATTTCTAGTCATGAGATCTGATTTCAAATCCTTGCTCTTACAGTCTGTAATCATTTTACCTCTCAGTGCCTCAATTCCTCATCTCAGAAATGAAGAGGTTAGACTAGATGATTTCCAAGATTCCTTCAAGCTTTAAATTATGATCCTATGATCTTAAATCTTAAATACATTCTTTGCAGAAACCAAATTTTTCGTGAAAATGCCAAATCTCTTGGGATTCTCTCCAATTATGTCTGTGCTTTCTTTCACACTCCCTGAGACCCAGGACCAGCTGCAAATCTGTTGTCTGCACTGCCACTTTCAGAACCTCCTCTGCCACCATCATTTAGCAACCATTTCTCTTACCTTAAAGTTCATTCCATCCTGTCCAAATCCTTGTGGTTGTTATCTATAGACCCCCCCAGACAACTTTCTCTCTTCCCAAATAAGTTCAACAACAAGTTCAATCTTCTCTGCCTTAGCTTCCGTCACCTTGCCTCCCTGTTCCTCAATATCTCTAATTCTAATATACGCAAGCTATAATTAGAAGTATTTGTACTTTTGATGTATCCCCATTCTCAAAGGGAAAGTGAATTGGATCTGTTATCAGAATTGCCAGTTATGACTCTCCCTCCACATCTGTCTTTGGAGAGTAACGTAATATGTTATTCCCATAATTGGTATTGCATCGAAAAGACCTTAGTGGCAAATGTACTATCAAAATATCCCTCAAATCTATACCACACTGTAGAAACGTATTCCAGAACTATTTCTTTAGTTCTGTCTCTTAGTTCTATCATTGACAAAAGTGCAGCTGTATGTAGAATTTAGTTCTATTCCCTTTCTAATGTGTTTGGTGATGTGCAGACATCTGATATATCCTTTTGAGAGTTTTTTTCTTCTTTTATCTACATACCCATAGGTTTTTGTTTCTATGATATTATTGTATGGATGAACTCTGAATAAACTTATTCTTTATTTTATCTTTAAAACCAAGATCAAGGAGAAATAGAGTGTCTGGAGAATAGATATAAATTTATCTAAAAATATTCTATGAAATCCAGGAAATATCAAATTCTTAGATCTCAATTTAATATTACCTGCTCCTTTAAGCACATGTAATATTTTTTGTTTTAATGCTTAGAGGAAATCTCAAGTGCCAAATATATCTTTTATAATATGCCAAATTCTCAATTATCTGTGTTTTAAAAAGTAAAGATTAGAGAAAGTTAATGGAAAATCACATCATCCCATAAAGGAAAACTTTTAGGAAGAGTACGATCAGGGTTACAAACCAGACTCTATGTCATAGAACTTGCATACTATAGATAGATTTACACAGATAATCTTCAAAATAGCTCATTTGTAGGCAGAAAATCAAGATTTGATATTTTTTTCAAAGTCCTCAAAACACAGGCAATTCCCAACTTCATTTTAAATACATTGAAAAACAAAAGTATCAACAAACACACAAAATAAAACAAAAAATGGGGGGAAATCACAAAAATAACCAAAACAGCAGCTGAAGGACAATTAATCAGTGAAAAATGAGAAACATCTAATCTTAATATTAACCAGATTCTTAGATACTTGAATTTTGAAAAGAAACATAAATTTGTAACACTGCTATTATTAAATTAGGACCACCAATGAATGACTAATGATGGTTAGTATGTCAAATGTATGATAAATACTTAACATAAACCTAATATGCAGACTGCTTTATTAAGCAGATTCTTTCTGTCTTTGCAAAATTTAGCATTGGCCAGATGTCAGGTTAAATACTAAAATTATTCAGACATTTTAAATTAACAGGATTTTGGATATAAGCCATGACATATGTGAATTGAAGGATATGAATTTGGAAAAGAAAGGAGGCTATATAAAGTCAACAGCTGGCTATGAATGAAGATGCTGTCAAAAAAGCAAGACTTAATTTTTCAGATAGCTTAAGATACTGGAATGAGAAATTCTTGACTATGGATGAAGGACATATAATGAGGATTGAGAAAACTATATATGGCCAGAGGCTTTCTAGTTTGATCAAGAGAATTTAAAAATGAAAGAGGGAAGGGGGAAAAAGCTGTAGATAAATTATAAACTTGTTCCTAAAGGGAATACAAAGTAAAACAAAAAGAGGGATTTGTGTAACCTAGTTGAGATTTTCCACTTTTCACAGAAGAAAATAATGATAAAGAGGGACAGGAAAAGCTCTGACATCTTTAGATGTTTATTTAACAGCACAAAACATAAATAATAAAGAATATTGAAATTTCAACACGTAAATGATAAATAACCTCATATGTATTGTTGGGCCTTAGTGGGAAAGAATTCATGACTGAAATATGTCAATCTCAGGAACAATTTCATTTTTGTCTTTGTATCCCCAGTGCCTAGGAGAGTGCTTTATATATAACAGTCAATTAATAATTGTTGCATTTAATGTTAAGGAAACAGATCCAATTTAAAAGGCAGTAGCTTAGCAATGTTGTTCAAAGTCTGTATCTATACAGAAATACAGGAACCTAAAATACGGTAGCAAATATTTGTGTGAAGACATAAGAAAAGAAAAACAAATTATTTCACAGAAATGTAATGCAGGCCACCTTGATGGATGGAGGAAATGGATGATGAATTACTGATGAAGACCATTGAATTGGCACGGAGGTCAAATATACTAGTGATGGGGGATTTAAACTCCACAGACATCTGCCAAAAACATTATTCCACTAAAAATGCTATATGAAATGAATCCTTGGTTTTATAACAATTTTAGTTCCCATAAGGTAAAGGACTTTAATGAAGTATTAATGTGTAACTAATTCTGACTATTGAGGAGCAACTGGGTGGTCAAGCAGAAGTTTTGGGCACCTAAAGGGAAAGGGACCATTTGACCCTAAGAATTTATGGTGGTCAAAAAGGGAAACAGTGTACATAGCAGACATCTCTCTAATTCTATAGTTACGTGGTGAGTTTTTTGAACCCAAGCGTTGCCCTTTATATGTATTCACAAGACTAAACTAAAATCAATGGGTGAAAATTATGAGAAGGCAGATTTCTTCTCAATATAAGGAAGAACTTCAAACAATTAGAACTATGTGAATATAAAATACTTTGTGAAGTAGTGAGCTTATCACTTGAAATGACCACTTGATTGTTCACAATGTTTGAATAAGATAAAAGTCAACAACTGCATTTCTTCTGATAAGCTATATGGCTTCTAGGTGTTACCATCTACCCTATAGCCCCCTGGCATTTTATTACCTAAATAATCTAACTCATTCTGCCATATGTCGTTTGAAAACAGCAATGATTTAAAATGGGCTGATTCAAAGGCAAGGCTTTCTGATTCATGATTGAAGATTGGATCATTTAATTAAGACCAGATTTGCTTTTAGATTAAAAAAAAAAAGATACCAATTCACAGCAGAGTGTGAAGTAGTATGGCATAGTGGATAGCAGTCTGAATATGGAACCAGAGGACTTACATTCAAATCTTGGTTTGGCTACTTGTTCCTTATGTGGCCTTCTGTAAAGTCACTTAATCTCTCTGGGTCTCTATTTCCATATTTATAAAAAGATGAAGTTGTACTAGATGGCCTCTGAAGTCCATTCTGACTCTAAATCTATGATCCTATGAGATGTGAACCATAAAACAACTTAATCAGCTATAGATTTTAAATAGTTTGTTGTGGTGGTGGTTCAGAAGCTGACATGAATTGCAGAGCTCCTATAACTACTGTTCTCAAGGGACAGCATACATGTACTTGACCATACCAACAGGAACAATTCATCACCAAAGAAGAATTCTACTGTTTAGTACAGATGGTACTAACCATTATGCTATTTCATTGTTTAGTGAATTATTATTGTTATTTTTTTTACTGTGTTTTAAAAAAACATATATCATCTTAGAAGCCAAACTTCTGAAGTTCAGGGATGCATTTGATGTTGACATATTCACTGAATTTTCAATAACTATTATCACCATTTAGAATTTGGGTCCAAATTTTTGTGCATATATTGGCACCATTTGTAGAAATCCCCAAAGTAAACATCTGTAAATGTGACCTATACCAGAAAGGAAAAGTCTCTGAAAAAACTAAATCTCAGTATCATGTAACCCCTTATGGAATATCTTAAGAAACATAGAAATTCATGTCATATTTCCAAGAAAAACACTTCTAAGGAAAATATTCTGCAGTCAGCTGTGGCAGTTGCTTAAATCTTACAGTTTGTAATACTGTGTTATATCAAGCTGGGGTGATTTTTTTTGAGAGGGAGGTGCAGATTGAGAGCATGGAAGACGTTTTAGACCAGTCTTCAGTCTTTCTCTATGTAGGCAATCCATGTGTTGAATGTAATTAAAAAACCCATTCAAAGAAAAATACTTGTCTTGTTTGTCTTGCCTTCTCTGAGTCAACAGCGATCAGTCCTCTAATGAACTAGCTGAAAGAACGTGGGAAGAAGGAAGGAATTGTTTAATCCTGCCCAGCTCAGCAAGGATATAAAGAGAGTGTATTCTTTCAAGATAGTGAGTCAAATGACTGGAATCACAGATTCATTTCCTGCTTCATGCTGTGCCCATTCAGGAAGGCAGAATTGGTCACTGTGTTCTTAGCATTGCTTTTCAGAGAAGTCATCCGCACAGCAGAGGAATTAAGCAGGTAGCTTGGAGATCTCTCCCTATAGGCCCTCCTCCCACAACAAAGCTGACTGTTGAAATGTCTCCTGAAGCTCTCGCTGAGCAGGTAAAGAGCAAATGGGTTGACACAAGAGTTGCAGAAGCTCAACACCCGAGCCACTAAGGTGATGATCATGTGGCCAAGGGATGGGTCAATTTCTTTGTAATTAAAAGATCGATACATGTAGAGCACATGATTTGGAAACCAACAGAGCACAAAGCAGCCCACAAAGACCAGGACAATTTTAGCCAGGCGTTTTCGTGTTTCCATCTGAAAATAGAAGAGAAATAATCATCTAGATGAGCAGAGTCAAATCAAGTCAGTCTCCAACATTACAATCATTGAAATGAGTGAAGTGGACCTTGATATGACAATGCATCCAAATTACATCAGCAAAACATTGACTTCTCTTCATCAAAGTGGCTTCAGGCACTGCTGTGAAATCTCTTAGCTTAATGGTATGTAGCATTGTCTTTACCACTTATATTTGACAGTTTACATACACTGAGGTGATGAATCACAAGTAAATACCTAAGCCTTTACATTTCCAATCCACAATCTTTCAAAGCTCCCTTGTGTTTAACTGTTTTTCTTTTTCTTGAGCTTCCAACTATTAACACAAATTATCTCTGTTTATGTTAAATCCACCCAATTAATGAAGCATGAAAACTAAACAAACTTGGGCATATTTCAGACACAAGAGTAGTCTGAATAGGTAAAATATAAGAAACTTTTAAAGTAGAGATGATTTTTTTTAACCCTTACCTTTCCAAACAGACATCTAATAATACTGTACTTTGATGGAGCCCTTTAGAGTTTACAGAGCTCTTTCCTCCCAAGAATCCTTTGAGATGCAAGCATTAGTATCTCTGTTTTAGACATGAGGAATCTGAATCTCAAAGAGCTCAAGTGACTTGCCCATAGTCACAAGGCACAGTGCAGTGCAAAGAATGCTGAATTTAGAGCCACAGAATAAGAGATCAAATCCAGGCTCTACCATTTAACTGTCTGAGTGACTTTAAACAATTCATGTAATCTCTCTGGGTTCCTCAAAGGTAAACTGAAAGTGTTGAATTAAATGACCTCTAAAGTCTCTTTTAACCTTAAATCTATGATCTATCTATTTATTTCAAGTCCACCTTTCTTCCCACACCTTGCTACCTGTATACATGTATTATTGACCTGTGAAAATTGTCAAGTATTTCACAAATTTAAAATGGTTTAAAAATAAATTTTTTTAAATCTCAAAAAAATCAGATTGAGTTTCCTTTTATTTCACTATAGCATGCATTTTGAAGGTAGTTATTTTGTGGAAAGTCTCCAAAAACTTCCTCTCAGGGGAGAGAGTGGGGAGAATTTCTGTTCTTTTGTTTTATCTCTAAATCATTTTCTACCACCCAGTTTCTGACAGTTTGATTATATCTGTCTTAAAATTTTTAAATGCATTTTAAAATAAGAGCTGTGTAGCAAATTGAGAAAAGGTACTATTACCATGCAAGACTTTTCCTTGAGTTCCTAGTGGAATATGTGGACTATGTTCAGATCTGTGATTTTATTGGTGTAGGGAAATCCAGGGAAGATGTTCTCCCGTACATAGTGGCAACTACTCCTAACATCCTCTTAGAGAGTTATCTATCACTGAAAGGTCAAAGTGACTTGCACACAATTAGTTTATGTCAGGAAGAGAATTTAAATATGCCTTCCTGATTCCAAGACCAGCTTACTATTTTCTATGTCATTTCCTGTTTCCTTCCAGTTGAAGATGCCAATTTTAAAATTGTGCTTTTTGATGCCCCTTTCAGTAACAATTTATATCAGGATTTAGAAGAAGCGGTACCTCCAATCCAAGTTAATATTCCAAAAATACCAACTCTATCTCACCAGTCTTCTGCTCAGAAATTACTACTTCAATTTCAACCCCTATCTCTCTGGCTGCTATGATTTAATATTTGAAAGCACAGTTACTGGAATTATCTGGTAGTTCTATTTAGACAAACAAAAAAGCCCCAATTACTACCCAGTCCAGCCATATCCAACAAGACATTTAAAATGACCAGGAGCTTCATGAGCTCTTGGCTGATACAATCATGCCTTATGGTGCAATGATGCCCAACATTCATTCCACACTATTTCCCTGGAAAATTATACAAGATCTGTAACATGCAAAACCTCTTTCTCCCAAGGAAACCTATGGGGCTTTTACCTTTACACTCATATTGATTTCTCTAAACAACTTCATTTGGCATGGGATGATTTAGTAGATGGTAATTTGGGTTTTCAATTTTTTGATGTCATTTTAAGAAATAAAAAAATGTTTACTGCCTTAAAAAAAATCAATTAACTATAGGATAAAGTCCAAATGTCCCCTGTTCCACATTGACTTCCTTCCCCTGAATTTTTGTTGTCTACAGAATAAAGTAATAATATTATAGAATGTTAGAAGAACAATGGTCTAGTTGAATACCCTAATCTGTTGATGGATAATCTCTGAATCTATATCTTATCTTCCCAGCTATATTGTAATATTCTTTGGGCAGAAATCGTGCCTCCAATGTCTTTATTTTTCCCAGACTTTAACATGGTGCCTTGACACAGCAGGCTCTCAAGAAATATTTTCTTACTAGTCAACTGATTTGGTTGGCAAATACACATTCTCTGACTTTGACACTGCTAGTTGTATATCTTCCTGAGCACCAAAGAGAAGAATTGCCAAGGTTAGGAAAAAAGTTCTATGAGCAAAGAAGCTCCATATAGAATACCCTGTTTGGAGGGTACACAATTTGAAGCCAGTGAGTTTTTAGTTTTGTTGTCAAGAGCTTGCAGACTGCTCATCTAAATTGCCATTGTGGTATAAAAGACAAAATTTCCTCTACTGGGGCAACCATGAGATTAGAAAGCAGAAGAAAGAGGCAATATAATAAAGGAGAAAGAGTACTAGGTTCAAGTCTCAGCTCTAACAGTAGATATATGATCCTGGAAAGTCAATTAAGCACATTGTGCCTCAGAATTATTATTTTAAAAAGTGTTATATCAATGTTATTTAGTGTCATAGAGTAAAAAGTTAGTTAATGGTAATTTTCCCACTATGTCAGATCTAGTTGGAAAAGTACAACCCAACTGTATACTTTGTTTTTACTATAAAAGCAATTATATAATTGTCTCAACTGAAATGTTCACTTTTCAATCAGAAAAAGAATATTATTGAGACCCAGCATAAAAAGTTGTGATTAAAAAAAACCCTACTCAAAAGAACCTGGGGCAGCTAGGTGGCACAGTGGATAGAGCTCCAGCCTTGGAGTCAGGAGGACCTAAGTTCAAATCTGGCCTCAGACACTTGACACTTACTAGCTGTGTGATCCTGGGCAAGTCACTTAACCCTGATTGCCTCACCAAACAAGCAAAAAACCTACTGGAGAAATCAGTTTTTGTTAATATTGTTTCAGTAGAGCACAGAACCCTGATCTGTATTTCTTTTATTTATTTTTATTCTACCTAATTCAAAGGAAGTTATGAAATCCATTATCACATAATCTAAATCAACTCAATTCTGCTCCTCTCAACCAAGGAACAAGCAGAGATAATTTGTCCCAACCTATGAAAGCCAACAGAGGATTTCTCTCTCCAGGTTTACACACAAGGCTGCCCTTTAAAGCCCTGGTTTCCAGTAGTATTTAGGTTCCTTTTTTTTTTAAATCAGTATGATTGGTTCCTATTGGTAATGATCTTAATGGCAAGTTTGGAGATTTACTTTGAAAAAGTTTTTACTGTAAGCAAAATTGTACAGTAGTCAATGTCCACCTTCAGCTCCTTTCTACCTCCTGGCACCCACTTCTCCCTGGTGTCCTGCACTTTTGCAGTACCTTCAGGCTGCCTCGTAACAACCACAGTGTCATCCCACTTATGCCTCCTTTCCCCAGGCAGTGTCAATGCTCTAAAATTAACTCCCTTTTCCCATCCTTATTCTTCAACAAAACTCTAATTCCCTACCTGAATTTCAGTTAGCTGCTCTGAGAAAAAAAAAATCTGATTAAACTAAGGTATTATGTGACCAAATGTCACAAAGACATTTACAAATGAAAAAGAAAACATTAGCCCTGAGAAATTAATTTCTAATGGTAGAATTTTAAACCTTATGACAGGATTGTGGGCCACATATTGGGGGGTAGGGGGAGGTAAGACCTTCTAAGAGCACTTCAAATCACACTACATTATGTAAATATATAATCCATCTAAGTACTAGCCTAGTCCTGACTACATAAAAGGCTCTAATGCTATTCTGCTATTTCATCGTAAGAACAATTGAACCCTTACATCTGACTTACAATAGACATATGAGTCTCTTATATATATATTCTACCTCTCCCCCCACCTTAGAATGTGAGCTCCATGAGAACAGAGACTCTCTCTACTTTTCTCTTTATATCTCCAGTGCTTAGCACAGTGCTTTGAATATAGTAATTACTTAATAGATGCTTTTTCATTCATTCATTCACAGTTTTCTGAGCTTCTAGGTAAAATGAAAAACAATTGCTAGTGTATTCCCATCCATTTCTTACCTGCTTTTTAGAATGCTCATTGTATTCTCCAGGGATATTGTGTGCACTTTTGATTAATGTTTTTGCAATGTGATAATAATAAATACTTATGATAACAAGAGGTATGAGGAAATAGACCAAGAAAATCATCACTGAGTGGATCTTTGGATGTAGCTCATCAGTCTGTGGGTATGGCATACATGCTGTGAAGCTGCCATTATCCATGCTACTGATGTGGGCCACTTCAGAGAATACTGCTTCAGGAACTGCTAACAGCACAGAAATTACCCATATGCCAATGGCTTTCACACAAGTCCACAGGACTGCACCTGATGTCTGGATATCCATAGGGTTCACAATGGCTTTATATCTAGAAAGAAAACAAATTTTTATTTTATTTTTCAAATTTCTTCTAACATATGTAAGAGAAGCCAACACTCTACTTCCAGCTTGTGAAATGTCTAAGTCTTTCACTCCTCATTTTTCTACCCTTAGGTCATTTTCACTATTTGTTAGTAAGGTGGGCCAGAGATTAAGCATGAGTTACAAGTTCCAGATTGAACTGTTTAATTAAGCACACTAAATGAAGGCGCAGAATAGTGCAGATAATAAAAAATTGCAGGAATTCAAGAACTGTTAATATATAATAATAGTTCACATCTATATAGCACTTTAAAGTTTATAAAGCACTTTACATAGATTATCTAATTTGATCATCAGAAGGTTCTATCATTATACCCATTTTACAGATGAATAAACTGAGGCTGTCAGAGGCAAGTGACTTGCCTACAGTCTTATAGCTAGTGTCAGAGGCAGGATTTGAACTCAAATTTTTCTGAGTTTGAGTCCAAGTCTAGAACTCTATCCAAAATACCATCTAGCTGCCTTAGTATATTTTGGTATTTGCATTTGGCGATGTCTAATGTCCTAGAGGAGCAGCTAGGTGACATAGAGTCCTGACTCTTCTTCATGAGCTCCAATCTGACCTCAGACACTCACTAGCTGTGTGATCCTGAACAAGTCACTTAAGTCTTTTTGCCTCAGTTTCCTCATCTTTAAAATGAGCTGGAAAAGGAAATTACAAACTACTCCAGTATCTTTGTGAAAAAACCACAAATGGGGGTCACAAAGAGTTGGACACAAATGAAAAACAGCAATGTCCTGGAAATTCATAATAGTTCTTAAATCATTGTCATTGGATTCTGACATGTGAAAATGCGATTATACTGTGCTCAGAACTCTCCCCTGATTTCCATAGGAAAGAAAAATGTCTTTACTTCTTCCTGGAGCTAGCATTCTTTCTTTGAACCAACTTAAGTAGTATTGCCCTTTTTCTGCCTTAATTTGCTATATTTCATTTTATGACCAGGGAGTGAGAGAGAGAGAGAGAGACAGTTAAGTGAGTTAAATGCCTCCGTTTCAATGAATAATGAAACTAAAATAAATAATAGATGTTAATGAAGGACTTTATCACCTGCTTTGTTGTGTAAACAAGAAATTGAAAGCATACTTTGAGATGAAATATTATAAACAGATCATTGAAACTTGACTATTTCAAAACTATTTGAAGCTATAGTTGAGAAAACTCAGTAATAATGGTTCAAACTATTGATTTGAAGGAAAATCTGGAGTTAATTTCAGATCCATGTTCTTCCTGTTTCCATATTATCAGGTATAATCAAGACCTAGCTTTCTACTCTGTTTTCTATGCCACTGGTCTCCAAACTTTTTTGATCATGCCTCTTCTCAGTGTGTTTTTTTTTTCCTGGTGTATAGATTGGCTAGGGGAAAGACAAAGAGTGGGGGATGCCAACAACACTAGCACAGATGCCACTATATGTACTTAGGTAGGGGTTAGGTTATAACTGCCTGAGAGATTAGCAGCTTGCACAACAATGGGAAAGGGGTGATCTGGGAGAGTATTGGGCCATAATGGTGAAGAGTAGATAAATATTTTGTGTTGGATAAAAGCCTCAAGATTAACTAGGGTGGGAAACAAATTCATCTTCCCACCCTCTGATTGATTGATTACATATCCCCTTGGGGTCAATCCACAAGCTCCCAGAGAAGGTCCTAGCCCCTACTCTGAAGACTACTGATTTTATCAGTGCACCTGATATGTTAAATTCATAGCATTTTAGACCTTAAATAGACCTTCATTTTCATTTAGTCCAGCCCCTACATTTTGCAGACAATGATTGATTGCATAGTGACCCCAATTCCTACTTTTTCCTTACAAAATGCAGTAGTAAATAGAGTAATTTCATAAGAGAATTCCTGTCACTGCAGTGCAAAAATTACCAAAATAATGATACCTTTGAACTCAGTGATGCTATTATTGAGAATATATCCCAGGACCACTGCATGCTATGCTTTTGGAGAATACAAATCCAACTGTAATAGAAGATAATGGGAGAGACCACAGGAATCTTTGTTCCTCTAAAACCAGGAGAATCCACAGCTTAAATTTTCTTGGGCTTAAAAGGGAGAGTTGAGTGATGTTCTATGTAAGTATCATAACATGAATTCAAAAATGTCAGAAGACAAATCTGAGAACAGACAATTTATCAGAGATGGTAATGCAGTCCCAGGATGGTAATGCAACTCTGTTTCATAATCTGAACACTGATTTTACCTATATATCTTTTGCTTCAAAAGGATCTGTCTCTGTGAAAGTATTTTTTTAACCTGGAGGAATATAATACAAATGAAAATGGATATAATCAATCACGTTTCCCTCAAACATTGGTAGAAAAAAATTCATAAATAATGATGGTCTCCAAACTGTTTCATATGTAGGTACTAACATAGTCTGATATGTGCAGAGGGCTGTTTTCATTAATGCAAATAAACTCAGTAAAATAGTTCCAATTTTAACAAATGAGAAACAAAAAAATGGAAAAGGAAAAAAGGAAGTAGAAATGTAATTTATGCATTGAAATTTTAATAATCCTTTTATTGAATCTTGTCTGTCATCTCTGTTTGATATGAACATATCATAAATTGATTTAATCATAATTTTTAAAAGTTAATGAAAATTATCTCATCCTCTAAATTCATTTCTGCTTGAAAAATCATCTCACTACATTCATCTCCACATTCCCCTGAATTAGAACTTGGCATTTTTCATCTTGAATTATATATGCATTTACATTCTCATGAAACATTGACTTTCAGAACTTCTGGGAGAGACCATAAGTATTCTGTACTCTAGATACTGGTACTGTCATCACTTTATGTCAGATTAAAATACAAAATATTTCAAGAAGTGTTTCAAGAAGAAAGAGCATATCAGGGTTGTTGGTTCTTTTGTTTGTTTGTTCTTAGCAATTTTCAAGTTTTTTAGATGTTAGAATGTTAACTAACATCAGTATTTTAACTTCCTAAGTGGCATAATAATTGCCCACTTGCATTGGTAGAAAAGGAAGCTTCCTCTATCAAGGAAACCATAAGCAGATCCCCTAAAGTTAGCTTGTTCCACAAAACTACATTTTATGTGGTCCCCCAGAGGACCTTGAAGGAAAGGGATGGGACTACAGATTTTATCTTCATAGGGAACTTATGAGTGGGGAGACTACTTCTACTAATGTAGACTGGCACTTTCTCTGAAATTTAGAGGCCTAGAGACTGCCCAAAACACTGAAACGTCAGCAAATTACTTAAAAGTAGGTTGTCCTGGTTTCAAGGTTAGCTCTCTATCCACTACACCAAGATATTTCTCCAGAATATTCCGTTCCCACGCCACTCCTAATAAAAAATACAAGACTTACTGTTTTTAATTCTGGTGGGGGTGGAGATAGGGAAGGGCATTGGTCTGAACTTAGGATTTCATCAACCTGAGGAACTCACCCAATTCACCTCTAACTTTAAGTTGTGAGCTCCTTGAGATCAGGGGCTAACTTTTGCCTCCCTTTATATCACCAGAATTTAGCAGAGCACATAGTAGGTGCTTAATAAAGGTTTGTTGATTAATTGATTATGGCTTTCAAGAGTTGCCTGAGGCACTGAGAGGTTATTTGATATGTTAATGGTTACAAAATGTGTGAGAGGTAGGATAACTCCCACAAGGCTTCCTGAGTCCAAGACCAGTCTGGTACGCATACTACCTCTCACGGAAATTCATAAAAAAGAAGAAATGTGGGCTGGCAATAGTAGAGAAACCTAGTGGAAGAGAGGACTTAGCAAAATATTGTATCTTCTGACTTTCAGTGTTGAGAAGGAAACTAAATTTAATAATTGCTCTGTGAAATTGCTTTCTAATAATAATGGTAGGAGCTCAAATTAAAGTTTATAAAGGCTTTATACACATTGTGTCATTTGTTCCTCACGATAATCCATTGAAGTAGTGTTGCATGAATTTCCTCATCAGTTCATCTAATTAATGCCAATATGATAGAACCAATCATAGAAACAGACGTTTTTATATACTTAAAGTGCAACATACCCCACCAGCAGTTGATGGGAATGTATACTATTCACAATTCAGCTAGCAACATTTATATATTACACCAAACAAAGAAGCAAACAAAAAGATGGCTGCTCTTTACACTGAGGATAGTTATACAAAGAAAAAAGTGTGCTTGTTTAGGAGAGTGTATATCATTAGCTACACAAGATAGATAAGAAACTATCTTCGTAGTATAGCTAGTTTCATTAAATCAAAGGGAACTACCTATCAGGTTGGATAAGAGGAGACATTCCAAAGATTAAATCCTCTCTCTCTCTCCCTCCCTCCCTCTCTCTCTCTCTCTCTCTTCTCTCTCTCTCTCTCTCTCTCTCTCTCTCTCTCTCTCTCTCTCTCTCTCTCTCTCTCTTTCTCTCTCTCTCTCTCTGTAATTGATGGTTTGTTTATTTGTTTTTTGGTTTGCTTTTGATTTTTTTTGCATCAATTGGAGAAGCAGAGAAGACACTGAAAGGGAATCAACTGCTGTACTTGGTCTTGCAATTCATGCAGAGGTCATACACAACAAAATGAAGACTACAGAACAAGATGGAGAGTAAGTTATATTCTCCAAAAACTTCACTTTCAACAAAAGTTAAAGCAGAAACTCTCTTATGACTCTAGTATTCCCATTTTGTAGGTGAGGAAACTGAGACTCAGAGAGGTTAAATGACTCTATCAACTCCAAGATCAAATACAAAATAGTCTGACTGATATTCAAAGCTGTTCATAACTTGACATTTCCAGTTTTCTTACACTTTACTCTCTCTCAGACACACTGTGATCCAGACATTGGCCTCATGCTACTCCTTGCCCAAGATTCTCCATCTCCATCTCCAAACTCTGGGCATTTTCACTGGCTGTCTGTCCTCCATGGCTGGAATTATTTCCCTTCTCATTTCTGCTTCCCTCAATTCCTTCAACTCCCA